CGGCGGATTGGAAGCGGCTCACGAGGACCAGAGGGCTAACTGGCGGGAGGGGACCAAGGCCGGGGAGTTTCTCTTCCGTCCCTCCCTGTAATGAAAAACTCCGTTATGCAGCCCCAGGAGCCGCTTCCTCACCTCACCTTCCTTTATCAGTGCCGAAAAAGTTTTAACAGGTAGCAGGAGGCCGGAGAGTAAGCGCAGCACCGCAAGATCGTAAGGGAAAGGAACGGACCGACTCGAAGAGGAGTCGGCGCTCTTCTCTGCGCTTCGCCCGGTGCCCGCCAGGGAAGAGCACCACGCAACTCTCTGGAGTAGCAGCGCCAGATGGCGGCTGTGCTTCTTGTGGTAAAACATAGGCCATGTAGTCACTGTCTGGTTTTTTTTTAAAGTCATAGTAGAGTTCTCTCCCGTGATGGAAAGTTCCCAAAGGGCGGCATTGCAGGTGTCTTGGTGATCAAGAAAAGCCCACCGGCTCTGTTGCTGCTGTTAGAAAGTTAATCGGTGAGGTGGATCAGCACAAGTGGGTGCCTTCTCCCTGGGGAACTGTCATGGCGAGTGCTGGGACTTGCGCATACATAGGCCGCTACTTGGGCAACTTTGAACGGGGCTGTTTTTGTCCCATGGAGAGACTGTTGGAGAGGGAGGGGTGCATTGGATTTTCTAATAAACATAAAAGTTCTGAAGAGAGGAAGCAAACACTGGATCATGCAGTACTAGTCTACTAGAAAAGAAGGGTAAAATCCATCCATCCATCCATCCATCCATCCATCCATCCATCCATCCATCCATACATACATACATACATACATACATACATACATACATACATACATACATACATACATACATACATACGGACAAGCAAATTCAGTACAATATCCTAAAATCCCAAGAGATGCCCTTGATTTTTAGCAGCCATTTCCCCCCAAACTTTTTATTATGATATATTTTCCTTTCTGTCTATATCAAACTCCAATAGTTGTTTCTTCCAGCCCTTTCCTGAGAAGGTGAAATATGAGACATTAGCACCTGAGCCCCCTCAGTTTGCACTGCCTTGGCAGAGTAACTGCAGGGAGTATCTATGTTAGTGGTTTTGTTTTGTTTTGTTTTTAGATCTTCATGGCAGGCCAACCTGCCATCAAAGATAATTTGCAAAAAAAAAAAAAGTGTGCCTTCTCTCTGTAAGACATCCAGAAAATATTTGTTGGTGGTCACTGCACTGCACCCATATAAATTTAATCAAAGCAAACATTCAGGTGCCTTCAACTTCAGCGTTTGTAGTTAGAAAGGATATGATTTGGTACAGTTGTTCACAAAGCCTGTGTTGATCCTCTGAAGGGAGGGAGGAGGTGACATTTATCCTAACATAAGCAAGTCAGGAAAGAATGAGCGCGCGCCTGACTCCAGCTGCGTTCTAACTGCTCTGCCTGAAAGGCTAGTTTTATGCAGCATTTATGCTTTGGATTTCTTCTAATAGAATGGCTTGGGATTTTTTATTTCTACTAAAATGTGGAAAAAGAGATAACATCCAGGTGCTGTGGCTGAGCAGCATCAAACAACAACAGAATGTATGGTTTCGTTAGCTACTGCGGGAAGTAAAAATCCTTGGGATTCTGGTGGCTTAGTTACAGTGTAAATCATGCTACCTTAAATTATAGATGAGCAACTGAGAAGGGGGGAGGCAATCTGGAAGGCTGGCTGTGTCCCACAGGGCCGATGGGGAGACAGTGGGCTGAGATGGCAATGAGAGGATAAAAAGACACCCAGCACCCCTCCTGGCTCCTTTCTGTCTGGCATTCTCAAGCTGCTATACCTAGTCACAGGGACTTGAAACACACAGAGGCCCTTTCAAGAAGTCACAATAGAGGAGGAACAGGGCTGGGAAAACAAAGTTTGTTGTGCATAAGATGCCCCTTCTTTGTCACACCACAATCTGTACTGAAGATATAGTGAAAAGGGGACAATGCACAGAGAAGGGGTGTAAATGCAATAATTTGGTGGCTTGACATTTTAGTGTCTCTACCATAACCACTCACCAAGAAAAAAAAGTGAATTGAGGAAAAGAACAACAAAAGTCTGTGAGATGCTACAGTTCATACAACTCCCCTGCCAAGAAAGGTCTATATGACCTTTCTGAAGGTTTTGGTGACTGAAACTGGGTGGGTAAAGGGACCGATGCAAAAGCTTTCTCAGAGACAGCTCTTTGCCACGTCATCTTAGGTATGTTCCTGTGCAAGCTGTGTTGATGTTCCTTCATATCTTTGTACTCAAAGTACACAGGGCTTTGTCTGAAGATTTGTGGGGGATCTACAGCTTGTGCAGAATGCATTGGTTCATTTTGGCTTCTGAGGGCACATGGAAGGCACTGTTGTTGGAGGGATGTCAAGACTGCCTCAGTCGTTTGCCCCACATGCTCCCTCCTTTTTCAAGCCCCATAACAATCCCTGAGAAGGAGACAAGAACACCTTTTTAAATTTTAATCATATCAAGGTCAATGCACCCTGCAGAACTGACAAGATTTGTTCTGAGGTCTGACAACCAGTCATTAATGCAACACATTTACATTGTAAGGTGTGTTTGTGCACTCTGTTGTCACTGTTGTAGGAGTATTTTTATATACAGTATGTAATCTGTAGTATTGTTTTAATTGGGGCAAGGGAGGGTGTTCCAAGTTGGTATTTTTAAATTTTGCAAGTTCAGTTGTCTGTATCAGTTATCACAAAAAGGAGAGGCTATGAATTGTGTATCTCTGCATCTCTGAAAGAAGAGTTGATCTATTTGTCAGTTTAAAAATTTGTGCAACATATTACTATTCTAATGAAGCCAGAATGGGCTTCCTTTCATGATTAGGGGATAGCTGGTTGATAGGCACTGTGGCAACTGAATTACCTTTCATTAGTATATATTTGTTAATTTTCCATTGCGTTATTAACCTGTCTTCTAAAATGTTGCACACTTTTAGGGCTTATTGATACCCTCACCATAGGCAAGAGGAGTCAGTAGGATGCTACTAATATGTCGTCTGATTAAAGCGACACTGTCTTGTCTTGTCTCTGTGTGTGGCTTTTTCCTCTGGCTGGTAGAGTTATGTGTCACGGCTTCAGTTTGTGCAGTGACAACAGAACAGAACTGACACAAATTACACTGAGCAACTCAAGGACATCCATGTAAAGGGCAAAGCATACAAACTAATTCACAGCATAAGGTGTTGGAGTTAACTGCTTATACTCTGCCAGAAAATGAAGGTGTTGCCTGGTGCTGGAAACAGAAAGATATGCTCTATTTGTCCTCGGTTCTCCAACTCACTACCTTGGCTTTTGTCAAAATAAAGCATGGGACTGCATGAGAGAAAAGGGAAGTAGACTTTTCAAACACTTTTTTTTTCTTACCACTAGCTTTATAGTCAACTGCAGCACTTCCATAAACCATGGGTTTGGAGCCAAGTGTTAAGGGGAGGGTGGCCTGAGTATATTTGTGAGAGTGACTGTGTGTCTACACTACACAGTTACAGCAGTTTCATAACCACTTCAACTGCCATCTTTAACTCTGCCCTATGGAATGTCCTCATTTATTGAGTGTATGAGCATGACAGAGTTCACAGCATTTTCCCAGTCATGGCTCCATTTTTGGAATTGTGGGGTTTGTAGTGTGCAGAGAGGTGTTTTGAATTCTCTGCCTTAGTTCAGGTGGGGAGAAGACAGCTCTATGGCGAAGAATGATAAGTCCCTCACTCAGTTATAATAATTTATAATCAAAACTCCATAATGACACTTTGGAAGAAGCCAGTCTTCTTTCTCACCTGTCAAACATAAACAGAGAAGGAATTTTCAGCTAGAAAACTCAAGTGCTGTAGCTCAGGGGAATGCAGAGAACTCTAAGTAACATCAAATGATAAATCCCAGGATGCTGCA